AAAATCTTAAAAAAAAAAAAAAAGAAGAAGAAAAACAGTTTAATTCTAAATAAAAGATCAACCATGCAGTTTGACAGCTCAGCAACACTGAGACCATTTATCTTTTTCTCCAAGCTTTGGTAATTTACAAATGGCTTCCCAGAAAAGGATTGCAGCTAATACAGTTCTTTTTGCTTTTGAGGATTGTGTTGCTTTAAATTTTTTCAATATGCTGTATCTTTCATCTTCAGTTTTCTTATCTGGAAAGTTGGACTATTACATTTCGGAGATAATATATGTAAAATATCCAATACTATGCTAAACACACTAAAATTGGTAGCTGTACTAATATGTGAGATGTCTTGAAACTTACCCAAAAGCTACTATAATGAAGAAAAATAATACAGAGATGATCGTATGGCAGAGATAAATTTCTTAGAAACCTGAAATGTTTTCTTGCCATATTGCATACTAGGTGCTTTTCTGCTTTCAGTGTTACTCTACATCTTAACAGCTTTTATTGTGTTTGAGTTTAGATTCTGAATTTTATCAGTTGCTGGTGATTATTCTTTTACTTATAAACTGTGACATTTTAAACATTTTAAAACATTACTCTGTGTAATAATTATGTTCAGGTTAAATAGCCCAGGTTTTATTTCAGAATTTAAATTTTGATATGTCTATGTTTCTTTTCAGTTATATTTTATAATAATTTTCAATAGGTTGAAAGACTTGAAGCCAAAGTAGTTGAACCTTTGAAAGCTTATGGAACCATTGTAAAAATGAAACGAGTAAGTAAATTCATTTTCCTACTATTATTAACTATTATGGCAAAGAGTATGAGGTTTCTAATAACTGTCGTCTTAATAAAAACTACAGTGTAGTTTATACAGTTTTTTACACACTCTGTGAAGCATCATTTCTTAGAACTTTGTGAATAATGAAATATTTTTAATGAGCTTATGAAGTAAACCATAGCAACATGAAGCAATACTTTATTACAGAAACTTTAAAATATTAATATTTATAGTCATGAAGAACTTATTTTACTAAATGAACATAAGATTATATTTTTCATTTTAAAGCAGGCAATAACATGTAGACTAAAAGTGAGTATGACAAAGTTGTATTTTTTTATTGAGGTATAACTGACATACTAGTTTCAAGTGTACAACATAATGATTCAGTAGCTGGATATATTGCGAAATACCCACCACAAGTCTAGTTAACATACATCACCATACATAGTTAGAAATTTTTTTTCTTTTGATGAGGACTTTTAAGATGTACTCTTAACAACTTTCAAATATGCAATACAGTGTTAGTAACTATAGTCACCATACTGTATGTTACAACCCCAAGTTCTGTTTTTTCAACCAACTTTGAGGTATAATTTACAGACAATAAAATTCTTCTGTTTTAAGTGTTCATTGAGTTTTGACAAATGTATATACACATATAACTACCACCACAATCAAAATTTTATATGTATATATATAAAATTATATATGTGGTCAAAGGTTTGCATTGAAATTGTCTGTGTCATTATTTGAGAGGGTGTTAAAGAAACACACATGTGCACACTCTCACACAAAGACCACACACTAATTTCGCAGTAATAATTCCTGTGCTGGTAATGCCTGGACCAAACAAGGAGTGTTTTCCCATTCTTAAAACAGAGTGTGTGTATTTTATTTCTTAAGTCAGAGATTTTCATTAATCAAAAATGCTTATTTTCAGGATGACCTCAAAGCAACATTAACAGCAAGGAATCGAGAAGCTAAACAGTTAACTCAGTTAGAAAGAACACGTCAGCGAAATCCATCGGATCGACATGTTATTGTATCCTTTGACTTTTGATCTTTAAAAAAATGTTTTGTAAGGTATGCTGTACAAAAGTAAATATATATGGAAATTACGCATTTCTGCTTTTAAATGTGCAGAAAATTTTAATATAAAGGTTGAAAAGAAACACATGCATTTACAAATTCTCATTATAGAAATCAACTAATTATAAAGAGAATACACCACCTAATTCAATCCCCTCATATTGTTTTCCAGAATAGGTACTAAAAAAAAAAAAAAAAACACTTAAAACGTTGAGGTTTTTATAAAAAGTAAGTTCAGAATTCTGAGTTTTTTTTTCACATGATGACTGAATATTAATTTTAAAATGAACTTAAAGATATATCATGAATCCAATATATCAATGCCCTGTCTGCCCCACTTTTGAGAAAAGGAAGGAGGAGTCATTTTTCCCCAGTATAATTCCTTTCACCTTTAAAAACAATAACAATGTGAAACCACAATTAGGACTAGCAGCCAAAGACCTTCAGGAGATTCTAGAGTAAAATTGAGGTTCATAGCTGGACACAAAAGGATCTAGATAGGGCTGTCTACTGTAACAAGGCTCTTCTGTTAAGAATGATGTGCCTTGGGGCGCCTGGGTGGCTCAGTTGGTTAAGCGACTGCCTTCGGCTCAGGTCATGATCCTGGAGTCCCGGGATCGAGTCCTGCATCGGGCTCTCTGCTCAGCAGGGAGTCTGCTTCTCCCTCTGACCCTCCTCCCTCTCATGCTCTCTGTCTCTCATTCTCTCTCTCTCAAATAAAT